TTGTAACCTATCCTTTAAATCGGCTTCTGTACCTAATGACTGGAAGGTAGCCAACGTGACACCAATATTTAAAAAGGGCTCTAGAGGCGATCCTGGCAATTACAGACCGGTGAGTCTAACTTCAGTACCGGGCAAATTAGTCGAAACAATAGTAAATAATAAAATTGTGATGCACGTAGAAGAACATAATTTGTTGGACAAAAGTCAACATTGTTTCTGTAAAGGGAAATCATGTCTTACTAATCTATTAAGAGTTCTTTGAAGGGGTTAACAAACATGCAGACAAGGGGGATCCAGTAGATATAGTATACTTAGATTTTCAGAAAGCCTTTGACAAGGTCCCTCACCAAAGGCTCTTGTGTAAATTACATTGCCATGGGATAAGAGGGAAGGTCCTTTCTCAGTGGTTTGAGCATTGGCCTGCTAAACCTAGGGCTGTGAGTTCAATCCTTGCGGAGGCCATTTAGGGATTTCGGGCAGGGGACTGGACTCGAAGGCAGGGGACTGGACTCGATGACCTTTCAAGGTCCCTTCCAGTTCTAGGAGATAGGCGATCTCCAATATTATTATTATTATGGATTGAGAACTGGTTAAAAGACAGGAAACAAAGGGTAGGAATAAATGGTAAATTTTCAGAATGGAGAGGGGTAACTAGTGGTGTCCCCCAAGGGTCAGTCCTGGGACCAATCCTTTTCAACTTATTCATAAATGATCTGGAGAAAGGGGTAAGCAGTGAGGTGGTAAAGTTTGCAGATGATATCAAACTGTTTAGGATAGTCAAGACAAAAGCAGACTTTGAGGGACTCCAATAAGATCTGACCAAACTGAGCGATTGGGCAACAAAATGGCAAATGAAATAATGTGGATAAGTGTAAAGTAATGCACATCGGGAAAAATAACCCCAACTATACGTACAGTATGATGGGGGCTAATTTGGATATGACAAATCAGGAAAGAGATCTTGGAGTTATCATGGATAGTTCTCTGAAAACTTCCACACAGTGTGCAGCGGTGGTCAAAAAGGCAAATAGGATGCTAGGAATTATTAAGAAAGTGATAGAAAATAAGACACAAAATATCTTACTGCACCTGTATAAAACTATGATACGCCCACATCTTGAATACTGTGAGCAGATGTGGTCTCCTCATCTCAAAAAAGATATTTTGGCCTTGGAAAGGGTTCAGAAAAGGGCAACTAAAATGATTAGGGATTTGGAACCGGTCCCATATGAGGAGACGTTAAAGTGACTGGGACTTTTCAGTTTAGAAAAGAGGTGACTGAGGGAGGATATGATAGAGGTCTATAAAATCATGAGTGGTGTGGAGAGGGCGGATAAAGAAAAGTTATTTATTAGTTCCTATAAAAGAAGAAGTAGGACACCAAATGAAATTAATGGGTAGCAGATTTAAAACTAATAAAAGAAAGTTCTTCTTCACACAGCGTGTAGTCAACCGGTGGAACTCCTTGCCAGAGGAGGCTGTGAAGGCTAGAACTATAACAGAGTTTAAAGAGAAGCTAGTTAATTTCATGGAGGTTAGGTCGATAAAAGGCTATTAGCCAGGGGATAGAAATGGTGTCCCTGGCCTCAGTTTGTCAGAGGCTGGAGAAGGATGGCGGGAGACAAATCGCTTGATCATTGTCTTCGGTCCACCCTCTCTGGGGCACCTGGTGCTGGCCACTGTCAGCAGACAGGCTACTGGCCTAGATGGACCTTTGGTCTGACCCAGTACGGCCGTTCTTATGACTTCAAAGGCCTTTGGATCAGACCTACAGACAGGCTACAGAATTTGTCCTGAAAGTGGAGGGCAAGGTGGAAATTCACATCACTGTCTATTGGACTCATAAATTTAGGCTTCCAAAGTACCTAACTATATCACATATTTGGATTGACGCACCTTTTCCAAGGGGCAAGCAAACAGCATGCAGGATACACAACACAACTTTTATATTTAGTTTTCCCATAAGAAGCCCAAGCTTTGTAAACAGTTCTCATAGAGACTATTTTTAAAATTATTAACACATGCAAGTCACTACAGATTAAAACAAACACCAGTGAGTAACAAAGGAACTAAAAATAATAAATCATGTACGAAGAACAGCTTTTTACTAGTTGGATATTTTGCTTTCAAATCTAGTTGTTTTATGATACTTTGAAGACTAGACTATAAATATCAGTGATTTCCCACAGAAAAGCGGCTAATAACCCACTAAGTCATGTTTATTTGAAGCACAGTACGTCTGCTTTATGAATTAATGTTCAAAGCTTAAAAGAAGGTACACACTTATTCTCTAAAGCTGTTCTATTATTCCACTCATCACGGTACAGTTCCCATAGAAGGGTTACTTTCAACAGCTTTGAAAAAGGGCTTGCTTCTTGATTTTCTATAGCTTTAGCATTCAACACACTGGGATCCTAGAGATTAAAGGCAGCAAAATTGCAAGTGAATGGGCTTTCTAGATAACAAAAATAGATAAAACCAAGAAAGAAGTATAGTAACTGCTTACAAGTACTATTCACTGCCATGAAAGCACTAGCTTCCTTGCTTTCCTGGGATAACCTGAAAACTCACAGATCCTGAATCACTCTGAAGTAGCCTGCAAAACACTTTCTAAAGCAATGAGGGCTTTGAGTTCACTTTTAATATTATAGAACTGAACAAGCACAAGCATCTATGGGTCAGTGTACCCAATCTAGTGTTGATGAATTTGGTTAAACTCTGCCAAAATACATACTATTGCTATCCCTACACTATTTCAGTTGCAAAACCCTCTGGCTACACATTCCATCATCCCCAGCTTCTTTTCCACAAGCAATGCATTTGGGGAAATTTTTGAAGGCAACTGATGCATTGCAGGACAGCGATGGGGAACCAGAAGAAATGTTTGAGTATGTCTGCTATCACATAGCCACTAAAATTAATCAATTAGTTATTTAATCAATGAAGTTTACAGAAAAGTACACCATTGTAAGGAATTATTAGACCATTTGTAAATCAACCAGAGGCGATTTGGGGCATGTGTGTTTGTGGACACACAAAGCATTGGGCTATAAACTGGTTTACATCCCCTAATTACTCTAGAGTAAACCAGGACAGAGTTACCATTGATAATTTCACTGCCCCTCACTCTAAGGATTCTCTCTGTGTGCAAGCAATAGTTTGCCTTTTTTTCTGAAAATGGTTTGAGAAGCCACTTAACCAGTTCAAAAACTAGGCAATTCTGCATTATGGAGAGATGCTAGTGACCCGCCAGTTGAATGGTAACCAGTTTTCTACTGTAAGTCTGATTCTGATCTCCCTCCAGAATGCTGCTCTAGATATGAAATTGTACATCTGCTCTCCAGCCAAAGGAAGATTTATTATCATTTGGGGATTGGAAAAAAGGTTACACATTATACTTTTTTTTAATGCCTTTGCCTGCCACAGGGACAGACAGCAATAGAATCTTCACTGGGCATGGAGTCGAGAATAACATCTCCACAATGGGTAGCAGATTTGCCGAGTAAGCAGTACAGAGACACACCTAAAAGCGAAGGCTTTATTCACAAACAAGCATACTCAATAAAATAGATATTACAGTAAAACTCCAGTGGTCAGGCATCCAATGGTCCAGCACCCCTGATGGTCTGGCACTATCTGGAACCCGGAAGTGCGCCAGGCAGCCGTACAATTGGAGCTGCTCTGCCCCCGGCTTCCCTGATTCAGCTGCTGCTGAAACTGACCAGTGGCTGACTCAGGAAGCCAGGGGCAGAGGCCCCGGCCGGCCCCCCAGCTGTTCTGCCCTGGGCTTCCCGGAGTCAGCCGCTGGTCAGTTTCAGCAGTGGCTGACTTGGGGATGCCTAGGGCAGAGCAGCTGGGGTGCTGCCGGGTTGGTCCCGCAGCGCTGAGAGGCGCATCCCCCCCACTCCACCCCAGATCCCTCATAGCCCCCCTTCCGATAGTCCAGCATATCTGATAATCCGGCACCCCCTGGGTTCTAAAGGTGCCGTATTATCAGAAGTTTGCTGTACTAAAACACCAAGGCACCTCAGTTTAACAATTCTGGTCAAAGTTTAGGCACCAAAATACATTATCTGATTTTCAGAGATGTTGAACTTCCACAGCTCCAACTGATGGTCATGAAAATCAGACCATTGCGACTCAATTCAGTAAAGTACTTGGGCACACGCACACACTCAATTCCTGTGAGGTCATTGTGTTTTGAATCTTGTTTAAGTGCCTTTCTGAATATGAATAGGATTACTCAAGTGCATGATGTACAGCACTTGCTTAAGTGCTTTGCCGAATCAGGGCCTTATTAAGGCATCAAACCATCAACATTTCTGCCAATATTTTTTACAAGGAAAAAATCCAAACAAAAAAGCCAGGAAATTCAGAGTTAGGACTCTGTAAGCAATTTTAAATACATGCCAGCATCTCAAGAGAAACACATAACACCCAACAATATCAAATATGTGCAAAGACTCATGTCATTAACCTTTTTTTCCCAAGAAACTACACCGTTACTTTCACTATTATTCTATTTTCTAATGTCCATCATGGCAACTGCCAATCACAAGCTGTAAAAGAGGGATGCTGATTCTTACTCATCTTCACAAAGCACTTTGAGAGCTACAGATAAAAACTATACAAGTGCTACATTTTATTGATATTAAATATTAATCATTGTAGTTAACATGCATACCATTTTGGCGTCATTTACCACTTTTATTTAAGGTAAAAAGATAAGTATTCATTTAAAAGCTACATTATATCGTATCTCACCCAGTAAAGCTTGTACATGACATACAAATGGAATGAATACCTTCTCGTGTTTGGTTTCTTTTTCGGCGTCCTGGTCTTCCTTGGCTTTATTTATCTTCGACTGTACCACAGTGCCCATCTGCAAAACAGGATGTAGACATGTACTAATAATCTATCCATCTATAAATAAAACACATAGTACTATGTTAAAAGTACATCACAATTGCACAATCAAGCACTCATAAGTTAGGAAATGCCAGAATCAAGGTTGACAGTGCAACTGGAATTTGTGCTTTGTGCATATGCATTGTGAAACTATCTTTAACTACATGACCAAGGACTATTTTTTTCCCCCCACAGGAAGTCTGCCTCACTTATTGCACAATGCAGACCTGTCTTAGGGAGAATAAGCATTGTATAGAGCAGGGGTCTCCAAACTTTTCAGCCTGAGGGCCGCATTAACTATCAAACAGCAGTTCGGGGGCCGACTACACACTTGAGGTCCAAATAAAAAACAATCAAAACATGGATGTTGTTTTTAATTATTTATTTAATATTATTTTATTCAGTTATTATTTAATAACACATTCATACACTACACATGAACACCTGTATTAGTGTGAATGGTGAAATTGTTTCCTGGATGCCAAAATAGCAGACATTTCTGGCTTTAGATTTGTTGTCCCTAACATCAACAGTGACCTGAGATTATCATCGGACAAGTTTGTTCTCAAATTGTTCTTCACGTATTTCATTCTTGAAAATGTTTGTTCACACAGGTATGTTGTTCCAAAGATTGAAAGGTACCTTGATGCAAAAGTTTTGACATTAGGAAAGTCTTCCTTGGGCAAAAACTGGTAAAAACCCACCAGTCCTATTTTGAACTTGTCCCTAAGGAGGTCATTTGCTTGCAACTCAATGACTTCCAGCTGCAGTTCATCTGGGCAACTGGCCACATCTGCTTCAAATGGGTTTTGAAACAATCTCACTTCTTCTGCCTTTGAATCCAAAAAGGTCTCCACGGGCCGGATGAGAGGGCCTCGCGGGCCGCATCCGGCCCCCGGGCCGTAGTTTGGAGACCCCTGGTATAGAGTAATGGAGTAGACTGTTGTTTGTAGACCCCTCATTTCAATTATTGCAGAAGTTGGTAAATGTGTAGTGGTGAGGTGAGGCAGGAGACTCCAAGAAGACAAAGAAAGATCACATGATTAAGACAGCCGAATGCTGCCTTGGAGAACTGGATTCTATCCCTCTCTTTGCTAGAGTGACTACTGATAAGCAGGTTACCACAGTAGTCACTAACTGTAAATGCCTCATTTTTGGGTGTCCGATTTGCAGAAGTGTTGGGCACTCACAGCTGCAAATGAACAACAGCAGTTGTGCTTTGAATATAGGAAGTGCTACGTAATCTTATAAATATTTCTGAAAGTTTGTTTGTCCCCAAAGATCTCCAAAACAGTAAGAGCTAGAAACACCACATTTTGCGTGGATACTACTGATTTCCTAACTTCAATAACTGGATTGGTTGTATCTCTAAATTGGTGCCCCCAGAGCCCAAAGTGGCCCACTGATAATTAGCTTTTAGTAGCGCCTGATCATAAGCATTTGCTGGACTCTTCTGTTAAGCGTGTCACAAACTGCAACTGTGAGATCCTAGAGGATAAAGAATGTGGGAACCTGCAGCACCATCAAGGGGAAGTCCATGGGAGTGAGGCTGCAGTGGGGCAGAGAATCAGCAACCTTCTCTATACTAGGGCACCAGGTCTCCAGGGCAGATCCAAATGTGGCTGATGCTAGCTGGGGTCTAGCCTTGCTAATTCTGGTTGGGAGAAGCCTACAACTAGCACAGCCTCCCAACATCTTCATGCAGCCGGGCTCCGACTGAACCCCGTCTGGAAATTAAAGCTGCTTCCCTCCCCACCACACCCAAACAAGCCATCCCACCACTCACCCTCTTTTGGGCTGTGTGCATTATCAGCAAGTGCCATGGACATTATGTGCTTTGCAGGATTCATCTCACAGTACAAAGAGGAAGTGGGTAAGAGGATACGGTTTTGAGCACCGTGGAGCCTGAGGACATGGTACACTCAGAACAGCCTATTCTCATTAGAACAGGTACGTTCAGGAGCTGTATGTTCTGATCATCTAGATATTACTCATTGCACCTAGTCTGAAGGTTTTTCACTTAGTCTGGTCAATGCAACCGGTCCAGCTGCTGTTAGGAAGACCATTCAGGTTGCCCCATGAAGCATGCACTGAAGGCACTCGGGGAGTAGTGATGGGCTGCTGTTGCAGAGCCCAGGAGACATTCCCTCCATTTCTCAGGGCTTCTGGCAAGAAGGCTGCAGGCATTGGTTTGCATAGAGCCTTTAAGGGAAGATGTGCCTTCCTGATTTGTGGGGATTGAGAAAAGAGACCTTATGGGATTTGTCGTTTTGTAAGCACATCACTAGCTATGTTAATTTCTTAAAGTAATATATAAGTATTTCCAATAAAATATGCTATGTTAATGTTATTTACGCAGTACATTCATCACACCTTTTACTATATTTTCCCCGGGCGACACCGGGTATTTTTGCTAGTACTAAATATTCTGAAAAATCAAGTGTCAAATGGGCACCTGAAATTAGTACCTTCATCTACGTATCCCACTCTGTGGAATGCAACCCTCATGTCAGGGGTTATTCGGTTTTTTTAAATGACAAATTAACATTTATTCAGCTCGCTCAATGAAGGAATAGTCCTATGGGAAAACTAGTATATGATTATATTATTAAAGACTGTATTATGATGCATAAGGACAAAGAGGCCAAATTAAGACTGCACTTTCTAATTTTTGAGAATTTGACTATGTAATAAAAATCTTCTGTGCATATGTGAACTTTCTTAGGACTTTTTTTCCCCAAACCATATTTAACAAAGAGAAATTCCATCTTGTGGCATCATATTGACATCCACCTGGCTCCACCTCAGTAAGTTTGAACCATTAGATCCCCCCGTCCCCTGCAGATCTCTGTCATTTTAGTTAATGAGGTAACAAACAACAGTAAATTATCATCCTCCATGTCAACCAGCTCTAACATGGCATAAGACACTCTGCTGGTCTCAGCTAGACATAGTCCTGGCTGGGATGGATTTAGTTGGGGTTGGTCCTGCTTTGGGCAGGGAGCTGGATTCGATGACCTCCTGAGGTCTCTTCCAGCCCTAGGATTCTATGATTCTGGGGGGAGGGGAGCATTGTGCAACTTTAAGAATGTAGGAGGAAACTACCAGCTCCACCCCCTTGCCCTCATTTGTAAGGCTTCCCCTTAGAAGACCCCATTTTTGGCTGCATATTTAACTTTGCCAAACTTTAACCATTCAGTCTGAAATATTAATATACAAGAATGGATTCTTGCTCTTGCGCCTCTCCTTATATATTCTTCAGTATACTTTATGGACCCTAATGAAATATGGTCTTGAATTATTCAGAGCAATTAATGCTCTTTAAATGGTAGGCCTCAAGCAAGAGTACAATGTTTTACTATATATTGTAAAATGCTTGTTGACTAATATAATTTGGAACACTTCATTCCTCAATAAGATGCATAATGGCATGTTATTCAAAAACATAAGAATAGAATTTCATTGTGGCAATAGTTCAAAATGAATATGAATGCTATCAAATATCTTTACAGAGCGATTGGTATGAAACATGGTGCACCATTGCAAAGCAGGCAGTAGAAATTAATACTATAAAGCAGAGCGGCACAAATACAGTGTTTTGGACACTTGACAGGAAGGAATTCCCTCATGTGTAAAACCATACTACCTTATATTCAAAGCAAACAGCTCTAAGACCCTGGCTATTAGTAGCAGACACCAACATAAGGTAGTTAGACATGACATACAGAAATGGACGTCTAAGCACCATGGTGTGTACTTATACCTTATCTGTGGTATTATCTATACTGAATGGGAAATATTGGAAATACCACAACAACATTTTAATTACGGCAGATGGTATATGTCTAGCTAAGTGAAGTGGCAGTGTGCTTCCACTTCTTCCATACTGGGGAGGCAGCCTGGTGGTTTGCCCACACAAAAAGAAGTAAGGAGCTCTGAATTCCATTCCCAGCTCTACTACTGACTTTCAATGTGACTTTCAACCCCTGTAATAAATTTTAAGTTTGGGTACTTCACCTTTGACAATAAGAACTTAATACTCAGAGGTGCTGGGCTTCCACAATGTTCATTGGGCAATGGGAGCCATCAGTGCTCAGCAATACTGAAAGTCAGATTCCGGGGTGGATAAGCCTAGTCACTCAAAAACAGAGGCACCCAATGTTAGCAAATGTCCCAGATAATCTTTATTCCTTTTCAGTGGTATAGACAGAGGGTTAAGGACAAGAGTCTCAAGAAAAGTCTCAGTTTTCTTGACATACTTGTCAGAATGTGTCAGATACGCATACAGGAGTTATTGTGTTATCATAGCTATGCCCATTGTACCGTGCCTGTGCTTTTTGCCACAACTGGTCTTCTTTCCTACCTTAATTGATGCAGGTCATCAAAGAACACAAAGATTCACTGGGGAGGTGGAAAAGAAACAGACATTTTGGTGCCAGATTGTCTATGGTATATTTAATGAGTTGCAGAGAGACTCAGGAAGTCTTGTGTTCTATAGCTTTTTGGTGTCATGGAACTCCCTGGTCGGATACTTTGTATTTGCTCATGAATCACAGGGCAGATGGTAATTATTGCCTCTTCTCTCTAGAGTCTAGAAGACGGGGAGATAATTTTCTCTCTTGCCTGTATTCCTAGCATTATTATTATTATTATTATTATTGATCCTTGTAATAGTATTTTAAGCCTTTGGGGATACGGTATATAAAATACAATCAAGTTTCATTACATGATATTTAAAAAAAGTTGGCTCACAGAGAAAATAGTTTTAGAATACTAGTAAAAATGGTGACACACAAGGGGACCTTCTAACTCAGATACAGCAGGGTGAACTGCTGAGTCAACATAGTCACTTGAATTTACACTGAAGTAATTTACACCAGGATCTGTCCCAAGAAGTAACCATATGGTTCCTGACTGGAAACTGTGTCAGAGTATGCAAGTGGTGATGGTCAAATCTTGCTGAAAGACATTGGGTCATATTTCAATAAAAGTTATGTTAAAAAGGAATCAAGTTTTAAAGAAAGAAAGGGGAAAAAAGGGTAACTTACTTTTGGTGTGGTAGACAAACTCTGAACAATGAAAACAACAGGATTTCCTGCTTTCCTAATAGCTTCCACTGCTTCGTCGTGTGAGGCATTTTGTAAGTCAACTCCAGACACCTAACAAATTGAGTGTATTTTCGTTATTACACAGTCTGTCTTTTCCATAAAAGATACAAGAGATTTACATATATTTATTGACAATCCCATCAGAGGAAGTCACCAAAAAGTTTCATAAGAGAGAAAAATGCTTGAGAAAACACTACGTAAAATACATTTCTTTAACATTCTGAGGAACAGGCAGGGCAAAAGTATAGTATCTGGTGTTCAAGGCACTTCCTGTAATTTACCAAATACTCTACTTTCTTTACCCATCGTTCTCTGATTTTATCTCCCAAAGTGTAAGCTAGTTATGTTTTGAAGCAACTCTCAAAGCACATCACTCTGCACATCAACAAATACAAAAGTGACAGTTTTCTGACAGTGGAAACATCATATGTGGACATACTCTTTCGGTGGGATCTCATGAGGTGTACAAACCCCTCAACAGGCACGAAGATGTTAAAGGGCAGCACTGGGCTCAGACAGTGCTGTAGAAGGGCCTAACCTGCACAGAAGAGGACAGATCTCTCATCCTCATCTCCCAAAAAAGGAGAGCACAGCTGAGAATCAAGCGACCTTTGTCTGTGACCACAGAGTGATAGGCCAGATGGCAAAGACCCTAGCAGGAAAGAAAAGGTGGTTCTGCTAATTATTCCTGTTAATTTTGTTACATTTTCTTTATTGCCTTGGAAGACTGGAACTAGGAATAGTAACCGTGGGGCAGGGCCCCCACTGCATTAAAAATACGAATCCCCTGAGGAGATGGCAGATCAATGTGGAACATGGCTAGGGATATCAACATATACACAACTACACAATTAACTAATAAGCCTGGTCTTATCGGTTAATTTTGTTCACTACATGCATTTCCTCCCTCTGTATCAGAGGCAAAGGCGGGGAGGGGAGCAAGAACCATCAAGAGGGGAGAGTGGGAGCTTAAAAGCCGGTTCCCCATGAGCTTTGAGAGCTGATAAAGAGGCAGCAGTACAAAGGATGAGGAGGGCAGGTGGGAGCCAGTGCTGGGGTAGCAGCAGTGAGAGGGAGGAAGGAGAGGAGGCTGCCGCAAAGCAGCCTCTGTCCATGGCAGCCTGGGTTCGCAGTGGACAGAGGCTGTTCTGCAGCAGCAGCACCTGTCCTCGGGAAGCTCAGACCCCCACGGACAGGGGCTGCTGCCTGTGTATCAGAGGCAGCAGCAAAGCATCGCAGGTAGGAGTCGGTCTGCATGGGAAGCCAGTTTTTAAACTGGTTCCCCTGACAGACCAGCTCCCTCCCGTCACTCTGTGCTGCTGCTGCCGACAGAAAGGCAGCAGCCCGGGGTGGCAAGGGGCTCCCCAGGAGCAGTGTTGGGAGCGCACTGGCTGTCAATCCCACCTCTGGGGACTATCAAATAGTCATGTAACTGTTAAGATTTCATGCAGTTACATGACTATTCAATTACCCAATATCTAACACCCCCAGAAGCAATGGATCTGACAAGACAGACCTTAACATTTTATTATAGGGGTCCCTGGAATGGAACCCTGAGCAGAGGGAAGGAGAGGTTCCTCTTCAGCCTCACTGGAAAGACTAGTGAGAAGTCTTCAGACACAAAGGAGACAGGAGGATTATTGGGCCTGGATATGGATTGTTGCAAGATCTCGGGGCTCTTTGGTATTGACAATGGGTTACCCAAAGGGGTGAGGCAAAAAGTGACCTGGCCAGATGGCCAAGGCAAAAAGGAGACCATCAGCAGACCTAGTCAGTAAGACTACAGAGAAAAAGCCACACAGTGCTCCATGTAGCTATAAGGCAGTGCGCATTGGACCTAGTGAATCATGTCCCAGCAGTTACAGGGGAGAATGAAAAACCACAAAATGGTATCCAACAAATTACCATATGATGTCCAAGGATGGTGGCACCTATGAAAATTACTCCCCTTCTTAAAGAATAAGGCACCTGCCTACATGAGGGATTCCACAAATAGAATACAACCAGCTTCTGCACCAAATAGCCTCTAAAAATGCCACAAAACTTGGAATGGAAAATGAACCATTCAAATCATGCACCGATTCCAGAGTAACTTGCTTTTTTCAACTGAAAAATGAAAAATGGTGGGAAAAACAGGAATTGGGGAAAAACAGGATTTCTCTAAAATAGTACAGTAGGATGCCAACAGAAGCAATCCACAGTCAAGACCTTTCAATGCACTCTGAGGAATAAAAATCAAATCCACAATATACCCAATGCTTAACTGCATATTTTTTTCTAGATCGCTCTCGGCAGTAATGCTTTTTTTTGTAAAACAGAAAAAGGAAATTAATGTGCATTTACCTCAAGTATTTTATCCCCAGTTTTTAGGGCTTTTGTCCTTCCAGCTGGGCTGTCTTCTAAGACTTGTTTGATAAAAATACCTTTAAGTTCCTCTCCATTCTTTAGGCGCTTTATAATAGTTTGTCCACCAACTATACTGATTCCAAGAGACATGTGAGGCTCTCTGAAAATGTCAACACTGTAAAATGCAAACAAAAAATCCCATATAATTTTATAATTATTTATAACTATTAACAGTTTTTAATACTGAATATTTAATATTACAAAAATCTAATAGGGATGTGAATAGTTGAGTGATGGGCTCCTACGGAGAACAGCTTGTAGAAATCTGGTGATACTGAACTTCTAATATTAAGTATTTCAATACCGAAAACTTAAATTGATATTTAGGTTGCTGAACATACTAGTGAGAGATCAAAAAAGATCAAAAAGTTATTTGCCATATGTGAGAAATCATGTATATTAGGGTCCTACTTGTGTTGAAGTTTTAGGTTTGAATTATGACCAACTCTGAATCACACCTTTTTACATGGCCTTTGTACTGTGGGCAATCAATGGGTTCGCGAAGGTACAAAATGAAACTAAAATAACCAATTCTTACTGAAAGAGAAAACTCATCTGATCAAATGGCATATAAATTTATCTGGAGGAAGGTCACTTCTCTCAATGTACATGTAAAAGTTTTCACAATTTCAACCAGATTTCAATATCAGAAATAAAATTAACTATTCTGATAATAAATCTTGTCTTGCAAGAGGAGTAGGCAAATATTCAGAATTACGCAATAATACTGTCAATTGTATTTCACTTTGTTTTGAGAGACAAGTTTGAAGAGGATGGTGGGGGAACAGAGAGAAAGCAAAGTGAAATAACTTTGACAAAGCCTCCTTTTGTGAAAAATGTGTATCATACATGGACTGGGAGGAGAGTGAATGAATTATTTCACTTTTCTTATTTAGCATGTAGATTGAAATTCAAACACTAGTGGACCAAATTTTGTGTTAATTCAGAGGTAAGCCACTAAGGTTAGTGGAGTAACCCATGAATCTGAAGTGGCATTTTGATGTCTTCAAACCAGTAGCAAAAAGAAGAAAGAGAACTTTCAGTCAACTACAACACAAAACTGGCAGCTCTCTCAAAATTAGTCATGTACACAGAATATATAATCTTTGTCCACTGAACATCTGTTAGTATTTAATAAAACCCAGAGCATCTAACTACGCGTAACAATATTCTAGAGCACTCTGAAATAAAAAGTCATGTGTATAAGCCATGAAAATAGTAATGTGTAAGAAAAGTCTACAGGAAGGAGTATAACAACTCCTGGAGTACCCAAAGGTTTCAAATGTTTCCTAAGAGAAAAGAAACAATGTAATTATATCAACATACGTTCGAGGTGGTCCCCAATGACTAAAGTTTGGAGTTTCTTCTCCTTCTCCTTCTTCTCGTTCAGGTAATTCACTAACAAACAAAAAAAGAACATGTTCCATGCCACACATACTCACAGGCTATGACACTTCTGTCATAGCACACAATACATTTTAGCATATTCATGTTTAAATAAAAAATGCATCTACAGGAGACTAGATGTCCATACTTTTTAATGTTGCAATGTTGGAACTGAAAGTTTTATTCTTTTTATATTTGTATTTTAGGTTTAGTAATATAGTCATGTAGTTTAATGATGAAGCAATAATATAGCAATATAAGGTATATGTTAATACACATTAAGTCCTTTTCGTTAAATGTCTATTTCTTTGTCCTAAAGTTTAGTGAGTTTAGTAAATGGGCCTAAGTAAAAATATAGTTTTGATATTGTGTCTGTATTAATGAGACTAAAAGGATGTTGAAGGCTGAAGCCTTAAATGCTTGATTTACAACGCCTCTTTGTCTTAATGCAGATGTTGATGTTGCGCCAAAGCATAACCTTGAGAGCCCTTGTAACATTGCTTATGTGTGAATGTGTCAAGATAAGGTGCAAAAGTTATTCCTCAGAACCAGGTGGCCAAAAAGGGAGGTTGAGTGTGAGTGAAGACCAGACTACAGACAACCCGGCGTCAAAAATGGGTACCCATAATAAGGAGTGATTGAACTATTGGCAGATTGACAAACCTTGAAGCAGAGTGGGCACCCCCAAAAGACAACTGATTACAGGATGAGCCTTCAAGAGATGTTTGGGAATGATTGACATCAACAAGATAACATTCCGGTCACAGGCTGACAGAGCGGAATCCATTGATTTCAACAGAAAAAAGGATTATAAAAGCACGGTGCTTTGCTATGGAACTTTGGGTTTGTCTTGCCACCAACTCCAGAAGAGCATCGGACTGATCGACCATCAAAGGCCCTGCTCTCCCTCTGTGTTCAATCTAGCTGGCCACTAGACTGATACAGAATCTGGACTGGTAACTATAACATTGTCTGGAGGGACTGTGTGTGTGTGTGTATGATGTTTGTTTGTGAGTGACTGAAAAGCATATGCAACTGTTGTATTCTCAATAAATGCGGCGTACTGCCTTTTCCCCTATAAAAGATGCTTTGTTTAAGCAGATAACAGCAACACAAGCCAAATAAAATGGGAGAAAAGCAAAATTTAAAAACTTTTATGTAACGGCTTAAACTTGGGCATGTTATTACTGGTTCTGTGTGTCTCTGTAGGCAATAAATATTTGCTAATATGCCATAAAGGACATGAATTGCGCACTGCAAGCCATAAAAGGCAGTCTAGACTACTGGCGAGTCATAAACTTTTCCAAAAGCCAAATGAGATGTAATGTGAGCAGATCCTGAACATGCCATTACCCCCAAGAGTGATATATTAATTCTATTGCTCTACCACATGTGATTTGTCTGATCAAAGAATAGCCCATGTTTCCCCAACAGGAGACTCCACTGGCATGCCCCCATTAGATAGCAGCATTGGTAGGTGCTCCCACAGAAGAACCCTCTCCATGCATTTTCTGCAGGCGCAGAGGGCCCAGACTCCCACAATTACACTCAAAGTGGGGAGCAGAATGGTGAAAGGCAGGGCAAAGACTCCACGTCATCCCATGTGCCGCAAGAAATCACGTTGCGACAATAGAAAGGGAAGGTTGGGGAGGGGTCAATGAAAGGTTGAAGATGTGATCAATACGCAGACAGGTCTGATGATATAGATCTACTGGTGACAACCTCTACCAAGGGAATGGCAGGGGCTATAGCCAATATAGTACAGTTCTGTTAGTGCTCTGCACCCTTGGAGATGATGGTTCAAGCCATTTGGCTACTAAAGAGATCATCTACAAAATTCAGTTTACTCTAGCTTGTGCAAGGGTCTAAGATTTTACTTCAATGGTTTACAGTTACATTCAGTTCTTGATAACATTTTGCTCCACTAAACAGTTAACTTAAAAGAAGAGGAAAATGGAAAAGAACTAAGTGTAAATCATGTACTTCCTCCCTACCTGGACAACACCATTGCAGCCTGAGCAGAAGTAACAGCTCTCTCAGATTCCTGATTCTTGGACATATAATCTTCTGTCTTTCGTTCATCCCTTTCAGTTGCTTCAAGGTCAACTATCCTGTGTCCTCTTGAATCATTCTGCGGCCTCGTACCTGAATGGTAAAATGGCTAGGTGAAAAGGTCGCTATATCTATTGTCCTTCAGAATATTAGTAGTTATATTTAGAAGCACACCTCTCAACTAATCTCTAATTTGTCCCAATAGTTTTGAATTCTAATCCTGTACTCTAAAGCAGTGTTTCTCAACCTTTTTTATAAAGTATCCTCTTTTAAAAAAAAAGTTATAAGTACCTGCAGTACTTACGGTTTTCAGACCCACAATTTTTTTTTCTGCCATTGCAACACATTTGTTTAAACCAGTGTTTTTGAAAGTGTTCTGCGGAATCACTTAGAGAAACACATTAACTGGCCACCCCGGTTTATTTATTTACCGGCGCAGCAGCCACGGAGCCTCGCGGCTGCTATTGGCTACGTTTTGTCCTTTGCATCCAAGGGGAGCTGCGGGAAGTGGTGTGGGCCGGGCCACTGCTCCACTTGGCTGCAAAGAGTGAAACGTAGCCAATAACAGCCACGAGGCTCCATGGCTGCAGCGCCGGTAAATAAACAAACCGGGATGGCCAGTTAATGTGTTTCTCTAAGTGATTCTGCAGAACACTTTCAAAAACACTGGTTTGAACAACTTAATTGTAACCTGCCGGGCGATGAAATTTTTGGGTGTAAAAAGTATAAAAATAATCAAGAGCTGTAAAACTTAAAATAAAAATTCAGTTTTCTCCAAATTCCAGTTGTGTTGATGTACCCCCCAGACTTCTCTCGAGTACCCCTAAAAGTACTCGTACCACTGGTTGAGAAACACTGCTCTAAAGAGCTTGCAACCACTCCAAGTTTCACATCATTTGCAAGTTTTAGAAAAATAGTCTCTCCTGCATTATCCAAGCCACTAATGAAAATACTAAATATGTACCAGGCCCAGTATTGTCCACTGTCAGATCCTACTAATATTGCCCTTCTAGTTTCACAGCAAAATCATTAACTCTGAGTATGGCCTTCCAATCAACTGTGTACCACCAATGTCCAATGTCACATGGACTCCATTTCTCTACTCAGTTTATGAGACTAGCATGTGGAACATATTAAAATCAGGTTAGAACACATCTACTGCTTACCCCTTATCCATTAGGCCAGAAACTTGTTCAAAGAAAGAAATTAGGTTGATTTGGCACGATTTGTTCTGTTCCTTATAATCCTACTATCCTCTAGCAGTGTACAAAGTGATGATTAAATAATTGGTTCCAGTATTTTCCCAGGTATTAAACTTGGGCTGATTGGGCTGTAACTCCCTGGATCCAACTAATACTATTTTTACTCTTCCTCAGTCCTCACCCATCCTCCTGGAGTTCTCAAAGATAACTGCTAATAATTGAAAGATTGCTTCAGATGGTTCCTTAAGTACCCTAGGATGAATTTCATCAGGCCTGCTGACTTGTAACTGTTAACTTATCTAAATATTCTTTAAGCAAGAGTCATAAGAGGGACACAGAACAGCCATTCATGCAGGAAACTTAAAATGCAGCTGGGGACTCATTCTAACTTCAGTTTAGCAATTCTGCATTTCCGGTGTAAATAATTTTCAGAGACAACAGAGAATGCCAGAGGACTGAAAGGATATGAATCAGTCTCCCTCACCCAGCCACTGAGTGTTTTCGCAGACTGACCGATAAATTATTTCCACTAATAGTGAACAGAGCTATATTTTACCATCAGTTTTAAGGAAAATTGTGATTGTGGCCTTGCAGAGACATCACAAGTCATGGAATAGTGGTGAAAATAATTTAAATGACACCAAACTGTTAAGAAAACGCTATTTCATACTATTTTAGACAGCACCTTGAGCTTTTCAGGGTGTTCACAAAAAAACCAACCAACCAACCAACTGTGATAGTGATCTGTGGCTATCCTTAGTCCTGACATGGTGACATAATGGGGACTGCCTGTAAAACATTAAGCTCTACCAGTGGTGTCCATCATACTGTTAATATTTACTTTTTTGTTTATTCATTATCTATAACAGGGGTGGGAAACCTCAGGCCCGGGGGCTAGATGCAGCCCCCAGCTTGCCTGGTTCCTGCTCCCAAAGCTCAAGGCTCCCACCACCTACCACTGCCCCACACAAAAATTTACTAGCGTGGGCCCCCCTAGGCTCTGGTGTCCGAGGGGAATGTATGGAGTGTCTTTTTCCTTCTCAGTCAGGGGCCATGTCAGTGAAGATTTGTGTGTGTGGGGGCGGGGAGAGGGAGAGGAGAGGGTATTGCATCTCACTTGTGTGCAGCCCCAACTGATTTTTATGTGGGTCAGTGATCTCCTGACCCCAAAAAATGGTTCCCCACCCATAATGTACAGAGATGATGACCTGAAGACCTCTAACACATCTAAGTAATGTTTAACTTGTTCTTT